TTTGCGGCAAGGTAGTTTGGAGGTGTGTGATGAAGTTGGGTGTGAGTATAATGGGTTCAGAGACTTGGACAATGGATCATCTCTTTTTAAGCTCATCCTTTCAGGCAAGAAACCGCCTTGGGTAGTTAGCAACCACCTTGGGTCGTTCTGCTTGAACAATGTATAGGAGGGAACAAGGACATTGTTATCTGTCTAGTTGAAGGAAGTGTTTACTTCACAGCCAACTAACAAGCACTCTATACGTTTACTAGTGATACTATTCAGCCTTATTAGTTTAGGAAATAGATGATTGTGCCGAGTCATACTAAGTTCCCTTTCTACAGCACATGTTGGTCGTCATGTCTTTGTTCTTTCCCAAGACTGGTTCTGGTCATTATAGAACTACCATGACTTTAGCCCTACTTGAATGATACACAACTTCAACAAGAGCGTAACTTAATGTCAGGAGGGTCTATTTGGATCCAAGCTGGAATGACAACGGAAGAAAAGGCCCACCGGCTTACAATGTAGACTGGAAATTAAAATTCAGAAGAGCTCACCTTTTGCGAAGATCTCTGTATTATCCTTTAATTTTGAATGCTAGATATCATTAGCTTGGTCTTGGATTAGAACCCTTTAATTGAGCTTTTCCCGGAATAACACCCCTTTAGACCGTCCAGCCGCACCACCAGCAACATCAGTTTTGTGGTCCAACACCCGGGCGGGCAGACGGCCGGTGATACCGTCAAGGTCGGAGCCGCTATACCTTCTCGTCCGCGAAGGCGTGGCTGTCATGCCGCAGATATCCTCAGATCATCTTAGAGAAGCCAATCATGTTGCCATCCAATGTATCGGTTAAGAGCCACGAGTACAATAATACAGTTTTCGACGCAAATCGACCTTCCTGACTTGCCCATTTTTACCGCGAGTCCTGGCAACCATGATGGAACCGTGGGAGTATAAAGTCAGCAGTCTCCTTCACGCATAGAAATTATAGGCTTTCTCCTTTATATCTCCACGTTCCATCCAAAAGCCGAGGTTTCTCAAGTCACCACCACCTATACAAAGTCACCAAAATGCATCTTATAACACCCTTCACGGCCATACTCGGCCTCCTCATCGCAGCCAGCGCAGCTTCCCCCATCCAAAAAGACAAAGTCTCTATCCCGGCGGACGTATCCGATGACCATTCTTCAGCGATGACCGTTCCAATCGTAAGTCGAAAACCTGCAGCCTCTTGCCGGTACCGACAAAAGTACTTCGACAAGACACGTTTTGCGCATGAACACAGAAGCTAACAAACTCCACCACAGGACGTACGAAAAGCTGCTCTAATTCCATGTTCCCTCCGAGGATCTGTTTAGCTAACAAAAACCACAGGGACAATGCTTCTTCCGCTGCACCCCAGCGCTGATTATCGCTGTCACGTGGAACTCATGCATCAAGGATTGCATGGCGCCGAAATTGTCAAAATACCAAGGCAGAGTCGAAGATCGCGAGTGGCAGTGAATTGATTATGGAAGAATTTTGAGATTTTGTACGGATGGACTGCGGTGTAACGCTAGGCTGGTGGACTATTATCACGACTTACTTACTACTGGATGAACATATCAATTACCTGTAGACGTCAACTTGGTCGAATCAATCTCCCAACACGCCGAGTCTCCGGTTAGAGCGAGACCATCAATGGCATAACAGTTGTAAAGTACATGAAGCTTCACATAGTCAGTGAACAAAGTGAACCATGATGTGTCTCCCCATATCTGTTCCGGGAGAAAGACGTGGTGTCTGTTTAGGAAAGTTTCATTCTCTCTCACCTTTGATTGCCTCCGAGAAGATGGTATGCCAGTGCCCTAGGCAGGCAACAAATTTTCCTAAACTAGGCTACAAGGGATTTTGGACATAAATTCACACTTTTGGCACTGTTACGACGCCGTTCCGTTGGCGTTGCAGGTGCAGCCTTGGGCCGATTTGTCCATGTCAGGGGTAATAGTTCACGATTACTAACACGGTCAACTGCTCGATGCCAAGATCTTTGGCAGCACAGTACACCCAGAGGAAAAGAAAAGAATGCTATCTATCCATACTGAGTGAACATAAGGCTGAGAATCTCGCCAAAATTTGTCCTGCTCCCACGTGGTGCTTCCAGGTCGATCTCGGGTTCACCATCCCGCGGTGTGGCTAGACCGTTCTTCTTGGAAGAAACACGAACACATCTCCATCCACTAACACTTGAGTTTGTCACACATCTTGCAACTTAACGTGAAACACTTAGGAAAGCCATGCCTCCATGGTCAATCAACATGAATTCGCTTACCAAAGTAGATCACAGTCTCGTCCTTTACATCTACAACCGCCCTCAGCACTAACTCACCTCAAGTCCCAAGGCAACTCTCTCTCTTCACTTTGATCTCCTCGCATACCCGTCCAACTGTCCAACAGCATTCACAAGCCTCAGCAATTTCCACGATCCCAAACCAAGTACCCAAGCCGCCGTTCTAATCAAGCACCCCACTGGGCCGGTCGATTATCCCAGTACCCATCAGCATTCGGATACGCCCGCAAACAGGCATAGAAACTAAAATCTGTCGTATCCGCCGGCCCGCCCTGTCTGATATTCGGCGAGAAATGCGCCCCAATCTTCGATCTACACAAGGGACAGCGAAACTCCGCCGCCCACGTCTCCTCCGTCTCGTCACGCCCGTCGCGTGCCCCGCGGAGGTCCCGCAGCGCCAGCCAGCTCTTGAGGCACTTGCGCCCCACGTACTGCGAGCAGCAGGGCAGCATCACGGGCTCGTGATTCGGGTACTCGTCCCACTCGGACATGCAGATATTGCAGTTTGGCGAGCCGTCGGCGACGGCCGCCGCGGGCAGCACGGCGTACATCATCGTCCTGGCGTCCGCCGACCGGTTCCGCGACCTCATGTCCGCGAGCGCAATTGCCGTGTTGCGGTTGATTGTCTCAAAGTGATGGAGGCCCGTGTCAAGCATCATGCCGAGCCTGTCGGTCGGTCGGGTGCTGGACGGAAGGATGGGCCAGTGGTGCTCGACCCAGTAGACGCACTCCTGGATGAGGTCGGCGCCGGGGAGATCGGGGTCAAGGGTCAGGTACGCCGGGTGCGAGGCGTGGTCCTCGTAGTGCGGATTCGGCCACGGATTGAGCACGGCGAGCAGGGCGCCGCCAATATACATCATGATCTGCTCGTCTAGGCCGGCGTCTAGGGCGAGGAAGTTGTACAGCCAGGCGAGGAAGTGGTAGCGCCGCCACACGGCGCGGCTCCAGTCTTCTTTGCCCAGCCAGGGCATCCTGTGGGAGTGCCAGTACGCGCTCGATGGGTGTTTCTGGGACTCGTCCGAGCCCCTCTCTGAGATGGCGTTGCGGGCTCGCTTCGCTCTCTCCAGGAGCTTGTGTAGGCGGCGTTCGTAGGTGTCTCTGCTCAACGCCACGAACGCCATCTGGTGACCGGGAAAGTCGCGCTTATCGTTGTGCAAATTCTCCAGGTTGATCGCCCTCTCGGTCGGCCCAGTGGTAAGTTCCCACACTTCCTCATCCTCATCGAAAGCTTGTCCCCGAATCTCCTCGGCAAAGACCTCGAGAGTTCCAGCTTCATCGGTTCTGTACGCCATATCCTCGAGGATATGAGCTGCTTCGTTCTTCCTTATGGCAAACGCAGGGTTTACGCGCCACACCTCGTCCATGGGCTTGCAGTCGCAGTGGAATACGTTATTCCCAATGTGTGTCCGCAACAGCTTGCACCAGATCTCTGGCCAAGCGGACGAGATCTCCATTTCCCACTCGCGGCTCTCGGCTTCCACGGGGAAAGGTTTCGATAGCATCGTCAAGGACAGTCTGAGTAGCTGGCGGAGGTAATTCTCGCGGTAGATTATGAATTTGTGAGTCGGGATGGCCTCCAAATAGACCCCTGGGCCCGGGAGCCTAATGGTTCTGGGGATTGATTGCATTACTTCGTCGGGGCTGTCGTAGTACGCATCGACGTCGCCGGTACAGAAGTAGCATTCTCCGTCCATTATCTGAACCAAGACTCCTCGACAGAGCCCGTTTATGCAATCCGTTGCGTGCAGATGAGCGCATCGGATCAAGTTGTAGACCCAATGGATATGCTTTCTGTGCGGTACTTCTTGAAAATCATGTTGAGTGTTCTCTCTGAAGACGTTATCTTCTTCTTTCACCAGATGATGGCCATCGATTCTTCTATCCGGCAAAGGGTGTGTTTGTTTTTCGCCATCATGTAGCGTATATCCAGGTGGTTTCGTGCAATAATACCTGCGCCATAAGATGATACACATATTGGATACGGTGTCTCTTCGATGCTATTCAAACCTGCTCAGAGGCAGGTGACGTTGTTGTCGAATCGATGACTTTTCTATGCGCTTGGGGTTGATAGTGTCTATTTGACCCGTCGCAAAGCTAACAGGGAAGGTTTCATTTATTGTTATTCATCCGCTCAACACTCTTCCAATACTCCAACTAAAGTTGGCAACTAAACGAGGGTTGAAAGAAACGCTTCTGCTCGAAGCAGCTGCTCTCGCTGTGCCCCCAGCCGAATGGGACAAGGGCCGCTTGTTGACGACGAAGGCAAACAAAGCCTCGAATGTGTATCAATTGTCAGAGTTCGTCAAAGGCCATTTTCCCTTGTCACATGGATTCGCAGGAAAGACGCCACTGGATGAAGCCCTTGCATTTTTCCATTGTACTCCTTGAGCCCATTGTCCTCAATTGCTCCGACAGAGTATTGAAAACCACCCCTCTGGCGACTTCATGTCGTTCGCTCTTTACTTTATTTAGAATTTCAGGAAACGTCTCGAAATCCCGAAATAGGACGAAGAGGATCCGGGAGGTCATGGTGTCCAAGTGCTGCGGATTAAGAGGAATGAAGAGCCAGGCCCCGAGTCACCGACCACTGGTGTACAAAGTGAGATGGGCCGTCATAAGTACGCAGGTGCCTTTCGGGTGCGAACTGGAGCACCAGCCTATCCTCTCGAAGCTGCGCGACGTCCCACTAAGGATACTTGGGTTCGTCTCCTAGCTTGAACTCCCACGTGCTGACCCAAGTAACCTCGGCAGAATTTCCAGTGACAAGATATCGGAAAGCCCCAGCTGATTCTCGCCATGCACCGTATAGTTTCATTACACGGAGTGCCGGTATCTTCTTCGCGACCCTGCCATCTTGGGAAAGAAGAGTGTTGAAGAGCTCGGGCTTCTTGCGGGAGGAAATATCCTGGGATATCATCGTCAGAGCACGCAGTCGCTGCCATGGCAGAGGCGATATAGGTACGCATACTCTGCTCGTGCAGGCGGCAAAGAAGTGTATGGCATCAACGATGTTGCAGATGACAAGCTCCTCTAGATCGAGACTGCGAATGAACAGAGTTCCGACCAAGCCTAGCCGGACTGATAGGCGCCAATTGTAGAGCATTTGTAGATCGCCGTGCTCGAAGATGTGGATTTTTGATAACAGTGGTTTCTCTCGATATGACCAGATTGCCAGCATGGTCGTCAATTCTATATTAGAAATTAGAGAATCTTCCATAGAATGCGAAGAGATGGGGTAGAAGACGGGCTGGCTTTCACTACTATATCATTGTCTGAAGAGTTTTGTTCCCGTGTATTAAGATGCCTCCATGGTTGGAAGTGAATTGTGCGCAATCCCGGTAGATGCCCTGACAGAGTTGCTGCAAAGGGGGTTGATTGTATTCTGCGCATGTTTCTACGCAGAATGGTAAACCCAGTGACGCAGTTGACGTAGGGAAGACTGAAATCTCCAGGGCCAATAGGGGCAAACACGTATCGCTGCTGTTGCTGCCAGTATTCCAAGAGCCCTTCTACTCCGCACGAATTGCCGACATCGTTTGGCGAAGAGGCACTGATCTCCAAGTTGATACTTGGGTATGTTGGTTCGCCAACTGAATCGACATCCTTCTAGGCTTCGAGAATACAGAAAAGGATCAAGATGTTGATGGCGAAGCATCCGCGGTTCGCTGCGATCTCTTCATGAGTCTGACGTCTCGAACGATTCTTGATGCAATGGTCAACTCGATTTTGAACCAGATGTGTTTAACATAGCTTTGTCGCCAGTACTTGTTGTGTAATATCTTGGCCAGGTTTTCCAGCGACTGATCATCCGAACCGACTTGGAGGACCCGAAAGTTTCTTGGCTCGATGGCGTTTTGCCAGTCCCTACAAATGCCTGCAAACCTTCCAGGGACGTATTCGAGAATCTTGCCTCTGATCTCCTGGGGTAGGTCGCTCCATTGGGCCTCGCTTTTAAATGTATTCATGTCGTTTGGTAGGATACTTTTGATAGGATATTTGGGCGCACTTGTTGTCAGACAGGCACAATGGGGAAAATCGAGTATGTTTGGCTCCAAGTCAAATTTTCTGGGCAAGTTACCGCCGAATGGTCATGGAATCTGAGGAAGGGCGATACCTCGGCTCAAAAGGGACCAGCAAATAAAGAGGAAAGGGAGAGAAAGAAGCAGAGAGAAAAGGAGAGGAAGGTAAGGTATCCACTTGGAATCTCGACTCCTTCCTCCCGTCCTTCGCCTTCACCTTCACCTTCACCTTCACCTTCACCTTCACCTTCACCTTCACCTTCACCTTCACCTTCACCTTCACCTTCACCTTCACCTTCACCGTCACCTTCACCTCACCCGGCCTCTATCTTTTCCTGCCTTTCAATCCCGTTGCTACCTACCTTAGCCAGCTACTGGGTACTCCCCAACACACCTCGGGTCGAATGATTACAAGAGAAAGTGCACTTTCTCATCAAAACCTCCTTTGAGGACTGTATCTTGCCCCATTCTGGGTAGGAAACACAGTCCAAGGCTTTTTGTGCTCCCTTGACCTCATCGTACATTTGCTGACTTTGTACCACAGCTCGCATGCTAAGCAGTCGTGCAAAACATCCATCAGTACCACCAAGAAAGTTAACGACAATCCGCGAGCAGTGTCTGATCGACTGGCCAACCATCGTGAAGATGCGCTGGAGATGGACAGAAGCCGTCAAACGACAGACCTCGACGATGTGGAAAGCTTACCTCAGCTGAGGTACTCAGCATCCGCCTTACATAAGACATCAAACCCACACAATTAAGGGAGCGAGATCTGGATCAGTCTAGGCCTAACGAGGATTGGTGCGATTCGTGAAGGCGACAGAATCCCTGCCCGCAGAGGTCGGAACCTTCTCCTTTCAGTCAGGGCCCTCTTTGCAGATGCACCAGGAGGGCGGGATCCCCTGACGCCTGCGACCCTTTTGCCTTTGCTTTGCTGCTGCTTCCCACCCCCGGCCGAAGCAGAGGCCAGAAAAAAAAAAGATACCTTGTCCACGGGAAATTCCACCTCATCCAGAATCTCCCCCAGAGAGACCACATTTCCCATTCGCAATCTTGTGGGAGAAAAAATTCCTCTTCTCCTCTGCAGAGACTCGACAGATTCCTACCGGACGGGATACTGTCAATTCGAGACGACGAGTCAGGAGGATACTAGGGAAGGAAAACCACGAGGTACGTGGTTGTTGTTGCTTAGCTGGCAGCTCGCTCCATGCCATCAGTTGTTCCCCACGTTGAGACGAAGCTAACAACACCTGGCATCTAGCCACAGCTGCGCTTTCTCGATCCCGATACTCCTTTACCTTCCGGCCATTGCGCGCCGCCTTCCCATTCCATCAGAACTCGACTGGACTCGGCAACGACAAGATGAAGTTCAGCAGCATCCTGTCCGTTGGCCTTTTGGTCGTCTCGCCCCTGGCTGCGGCCTGGAGCAAGGAGGGTACGAGCATCGCCATCCTGTCTTGTCTCCGTTGCGCACCGTTGGCTAACGTGTGAAAAACAATAGATCGTGAGATTTTCCGTATCCGCGATGAGATCAAGGCCCACGAGGCCAACCCCGAACAGACCTTCTACGACCTCCTCGGCGTCAAGAACAGCGCTTCTATCGACGAGATCACCAAGGCCTACCGCAAGATCTCCCGCACTCTCCACCCTGATAAAGTTCGCCAGCAGCTCATCGCCGAGCGCACCAAGGCTAAGAAGAAGGAGAAGAAGACTCCCGGCGTCAATGTCTCCAAGGCTCCTACTCAGAAGGAGATCAAGGCCGCTGTCAAGATTGCCTCTGAGCGCCAGGCCCGCCTCGGTCTCGTGCGCAACATCATCAGTGGTCCCGATCGCGACCGCTACGACCATTTCCTGAAGAATGGCTTCCCGGCCTGGAAGGGCACCAATTACTATTACAATCGGTACCGCCCTGGTCTGGGCACTGTGCTCTTCGGTGTCTTCCTTGTGGCTGGAGGTGCCTTCCACTACATCGCTCTGTACATGTCCTGGAAGCGCCAGAAGGACTTTGTCGAGCGCTACATCAAGTTCGCACGCAATGCTGCTTGGGGAGACAACCTGAGTATTCCTGGCATCGACGACACCCCCGCCCCTGCTCCTGCTGCCCCCGCCGCCGACGATGAGGAGGGCCCCCAGCTGCCCAGAAACCGCAAGGAAAGACGTATGCAGGAACAAATGGCTCGCAGAGAGGCCGCTAAGGAGCGCGGAGGCCGATCCCGCAAGCCCGCTCCCGCCGCTCGCAGCACCAGCGGCAGCGGTACCGCCACCCCCCGCGAGACGGTTGCGCAGACCGGTCAGACCGGCCCCACCGGCTCCAAGAAGCGCGTTGTCGCCGAGAATGGCAAGATTCTTGTGGTTGATTCCCTCGGAGACGTCTACCTTGAGGAGCAGGATGAGGATGGCAACACCGAGCAGTACCTCCTTGACGTAAGTGCCCAAAATGCAAGCTAAAGCTTGTCAACCTACCGCGACACGAGGTCTGCGAACGATGCTAACTCAAAGCAGCCCAACGAACTGCCTCAACCCACCATCCGTGACACCGCGCTCGTCCGCCTCCCCATCTGGGCCTACAACCGCACTGTCGGCCGCGCCCTCGGCAAGAACACTACTGAGCTGGAGATCGACACCGAGGACCTGGACTCTGATGACGGCGAGATTCAACACACCCCCAGCTCTGACTCTGCCGCTGATGACTTTGAGCTCTTGGAGAAATCGACCGATTCTTTGGGCAAGGCCAAGGCTTCCGGTGCGCAGACTGGAGGCAAGACCAACAAGCGCAAGAACAAGAAGCGTTGAGGCATTGGTTCAAGATCTGGTTGATGTATAGAGCTTCACGGCGGGCCTCTTCGAACCCTCTGACGGGTTTTGCGACCTTGATTGGTCTTGAGGATCAGACAAGCGACCCAGAGGTGCATGATGCGTCATGAAGCTGCAGCCAGTCTCGTCGTTAACGTAGATTATTCATCAATGCAAATTCTCGTACGAATTGTAAAGTACAATAGGAAGGCCACAATCTGTTGAAGGTGTCAGTGTGCTGCATCGTGTCTAGTGCATTGTGCATTGGGGGATGAGGTTTGTTGAGTATGTGTGTGTGTGTACTTCACAACAGGCCGTGACAGATACATCATACGGGCACACTTGTTTCCATTCCATTTCTTCACACCATCGAGCACCGGAGGAAAGGCCCAATGCGGTTAATGTTTCCCGTCAAACATGTCGCGACCCTGCGCAAGTGCGTGAGGCCGTTTCCTGCCCCTCTGCACCTCATAACTCTGTTCCGTCCCTTCCTATGGCATCATGGCTGCATGATGATTTGTTGGCACAGAAGATCAAGTGTCGCTCGGTGGTTCGTCCGCTTCATGTAGCGGCGATAGGCTTTTGCAGCACTCAACTTACACCAACACCAACACCAACAACAACCCTCGATGATGTTTCTTTGGTATCCATCACAGCCAGTCAGCCAGTCAGCCAGTCAGTAAAAAGCACAGCGGTAGTCTTGACTCGACCTTGTTCAAGATCCAAAATCATCAGTCCACCTCTCCTATCTTTTGCGTCTATATCCGTACCTCACAACCAAATGTTTCCATCCACCACAACCACCACAATCCAGCCTCTCAACTGTCGGCCTGAAACATAGGAGATCCTATGCCAAAAACAGACCACTTGTGCCTAGCTTATACCCAAAAGAAACTAAACCCGCAAGCCAAGCGCCCACCCCGCTCTTCTATGATCTACGGCGACGACCAGGGCTCGAGCGCGCCGCACAGCAACCACGCAACCCAACGCTCGAGCCGCATGGTCGCCCGTTTCCGAGCCGGTTCCAGCTTCGCAGCCCCATTGACCTGATGATTCCTTGCCCTCACCTCTTCTTACCACGCTTTAGCGTCTGTTCGCCAGAGACGCCATTTGAACCGCTAGATGGAAACCCTATCTCAATCAAGACGCTACTTGCGTTTTTCCTACGCTTCTGACTGGCGAATATGTCGCTGACTTCAAGTTGGCTTCAAGGCCGTTCCCTGTCGACCTCTTAGGTAGAACCCAAGGTTGCCTCCCACCCCTCAGAGGCTCATAGCTAACGGAGCAGTCCAGGAACCTTCGCCAGCTTCGTCCCACCATTGATCTCGTCTCCTCAAATACACATACACACACATGGATCACTCCC